AGTTTTTAGGTTGCCGTCTCTGTTCATCTTGTGAAGTGGCTCAACCGCAAAACGCTCAATCTGTTCTCCGAGACACAAGAACGATGCTGAAAAGGGTCTACGGCGTTCATGAAAGCACGATTCAAATCGAAGGATTCATAGCCGAAAAAGACTGCAACCGATGTGATGTGCCGAAATGAGACGGTCTAAAATCTTGAATCGTTTTGAAATATTGTTTACCTCATGCTTAGGTAAATCATCCGACGATTCCAGACTCAGTTGTATACATGTGTGATTTGACATTCCAACGACCACTGTTACTGTTGTTTTGTATTTTTTCCAATTTTATGAGCTTACTGTATTTTCACAACTCGTATTTTATGCCATGAAGACCGTGTTTCCAAAAAGTGCACATAGAATCCTCAACCGTTTCGTGAAAGGTAAGTGTAGCTATTGGGCTTAGAATGATTCTCTCTTTGAGTGAGATAACAGGATTCCTGATCACAGCGGCGCTCAAAGTGCGCGACAAGGGAGCTATTGCCTTCGCATGACCGCTACGGCTGCTTCTATTCTCATCAGTTGCAGCATTCGTGATGTGTGCGCCCTCTCGCATACAACGTGGTCCCCAGCGTATATCCTTCCTTGGCAGCGCTGCGTACCATGGTCGGCCTCAAAAGATAAAATTCCGTGTTTTTTGTGGTGCTTTTGTTTCTCCTACCCACTGAAATTCTTTTTTGCACTTATTGCCTAATCTTCGGACAAAATCGCTCAATATTTCGAACGCCGTGCCTTTACGTCACCCCCCCCCAAGATGTGCTGTACTGGATCAACTTTCTTTGGTGGGTGGGTGAAATAGAGTTTCCCACTGAAGTGACAAATGTCTCCATCTCCGGGATCGAAAGGCACATCACAAGATGGCGCAGCAAATCCACGAGAAACTTTCTCAGACACCCGCATCGGTAGTGCGCGAGAAAGGCACTAGACCGCTTCAAGAGCTTCCAGTTCCCACTGAATCACAAATATGAGTAAGCCCTTGATGTTAGCGTTTTCGGCGGCTTAGTGTCGCTTCCCAGTCACTAGCTGCCCGAATTGCAGCGCTGTTTTCATTTCTGTACGCAAGAATCACATTAGTTTTATGGTGTCGTGCGCCTTCGAGATGTGTGCGTTCAATAGCTGTGGTCCAATCTTCAACGTTCCATCGCTCAGTCCAGCTTCGGAGAGTTTTCAAAACGAATAATTTTCAAGCTTATCTGTTTTATTATCGCGGCAAACCACACCACACGGCACGACTGATAACACGTCGCGTTCATTCAGAAACGAAACTCTTACTTGATTTACAGAGGAACTGAAGGGGTCTGTGTGATCGTTTATTCCTTCTAACTAAAATGGGTTGCCGTAGCTATGAAAAAACGATTTGAGGGGGGAAGGGGAAGGCAGGAGAGGCATTTGAGGCGTCATTGAGAACATGCAACAGAACTCCGACTGTTTTCTGTCTGACATTCTGAAGAAAGGGTCAAAGAGCACGCTGAGAAAACTGAGGTGAAGCACCAGATCGGCTGTCGCAGGGTTCACAGTTCTGTGGTGTCGACCTCAGTTGTTGGTAACCCTGAAATTTTATCCAAATTTTATAGTTTTTTGTCCAGTGAGGCATAAAAATCTCAAAAATAAACGCTGACCTTCTCTTTCACCTTCAAATACCACCGACGTATTGACGAATTAGCAAATACAGTGCTACTTCATCAAATACTATCGGCTCCCCTCATACCGTCCATTGTGTTGTGACTATTCGTGAAGTAGTGAGGAGTTGAGATCTTGATATACCACCTCAGACAGAGCGGCAGACAGGCACTGGCAAGAGGAGGCTCTTTCAGGGTAAGGTGCGCTTTTTCAAAACGGTTTTGTGCATATTGTAGGGACGCATGTAAAACCATGTTTCATTTTCGCTGAACGGTTATAGCAGTACCAAAAAAGAAGCATAAGGTACTGTTAAGGGTTCGATCCCCCGTGGCGACTAAATTTTGCATTTGGGTTGGCGCCTACGGTTTGGTGCCAAATCGCGCTAAATATCAAAATCAGATGTCAATTCATCGTCAGGACCATTTTGAAGCCAACAAGTGGCCGCCAACCTTGATTGCAAAATTTAGTCGCCGGGATTGAACCATCAAGAGTATTATTCACCACTTTTTTGGTACTACTAAAACCGTTCAGCGAAAACGAAACATGGTTTTGTGGTCCATACATGCGTCCCTACAACATGTACTAAACCGTTTCCAAAAAGCGCACCTTGCCCTGAAAGAACTCCCTTGTGAGGCCCTGGGATGTGCAACCGCTTTCGAAAGCGGAATCCACTCCTGTACTAAAAGTCATGTTGGTGCTTACACGGTTGTCAAACCGACCCTATTCGGATAAGGAGATCATCCATGTCATGTACATGGATGCTGTGGATTATAATGTTCCCTTCGGGCGCTTGCGTACCGTAACCCAACACGCGAAAAATTCGCCGTTAGCTTCGATGTCATTGGTGCAGGCGCACAACAAGCACCCTACCGCACGCGCAAATTTGTCGTGTCATCAGTTTTCCGTGCGTGCTCGCCTCCCAGTTCTCGTTTTCTCTGCGTCCTCTCAACGAAGAGAAATGTGTCGAGCGAACCCGCGAACTATACCGTGCGCCGTTCATGCAGGAGGTGGAGGATGGCGCGCATGTCGGGTTGGCCTCGCGTCCGATGAAGCGGCACCCGGGGATGACCTTCCTTGCCGCAGCGCGCGGAGCGCGCAAGCCTCACCGCGCAAGCGACGAGGCGAGCGCCTCGACGCTCCTCCAATTCTGGGTTGCTACCCCGGGAAACAGGGGTAGTCTATCCAACTGCAGCCATGCAAGTGTCGCACGCTGGAGGCTCACAGCTGCGCTCCGGCGCCACCGCGGGTTACGGTATTCGAGCGCCCAAAGGGAACAATATAATCTTGTCATGGATGCACCTGATGCGCGACGAAGTGCAACAGGCACGATTTTCGGCAGATTTTAGGCAATTCCATGCTAATGGTGTTGAGCTTGGTTATCGTTCTCGTAACTACAGCGCAAGACCTAACGTCACACTTCGTTTTCAATTTCTTGGAACATCACCTTCGAATGGAGTAATTAGGTTCGCGCTCGTAGAGGTAGTGTTCCTGTTCCTACTCGAGGTCTCACGGGAAAGGCAGCTGAAGTCTTGTTCAGATGTTTGCAAGTGATTTCAGCAGTGCCACGTCCCGGCAAGCAGCATCTGCGTCTTCCGTCAAACTGCTCTCGCCCTCTCGCCTGTGCAAGAGCCACACCAATGTGATTCTGGGCTTTAAGAATGTTTTGACTTTCGCATTCTCTCGCAAGTAGAGATCAGATCGTCACATTGAGAATAAACAGAGCTTCCCAATATTCATTACATGGTCTCCTGGGCCATTGATCTTGCAAGAATGTTTTCAAGCGGACAGACATGCGAGGCTCTCCACGGCGATGCTCTTCGAGTCGCTTCGAGCAAAACGCCAATGCCCGTCGCTCGTGCATTGAATGTCCACCACCTGTTCACCGCGAACTAAAAAGCCGCCGGCACCCCGATTAAACTGAAATGACCATCTTTTGTTTCGGAAAATAACTTAAGCTTGTTAAGCTTCAAGCTACCTGTACAAAGGTATCTGCATTGGACTTGTTGGCACGGCATGTCAGTCGTTGGATCTAAATGGATATCTTGAGAAAAATGAACACTTGAACGAGTGCAATATGACCTTATTTTTCAATACTCAGACTCAGTGAGTTAGTAATTAATTAGTCAGTTGATTGAAATTTTCAAGTATTCAAGTATTCCAACCATGGTTAATTGAAACACTAAAACAGGGTGAATAACGGTCGAGGAAATCCTCGACCATGGCTCTGTACTGTGCGAGAGTAGTGTCGAGAGTGAATGTACGCGCGGAGAGCACAGACGGCTCGCGCGTGGCGAGAGTGAATGTCCGCGCGGGAGAGCGTGAATGAACAGGCGAAAATCGACGAGTCGTCGACGAATCCTCGACCGATTTTCACAGCTACTCTTGAGGGAGCCTATCGCACGGCAAAAGGATAGATACGCAGCAAGAATGTTGCACCGGTTTTCTATTGTTCTGTCTTCTTCACTACGGCCTATTTGAGTCGATGCCAGGGTCAACCCTACGTTGCTACAAGTACCAACGAGGGGGTCGTATTTGGTTCAGATTGTGGGGGAGTCGTACTCGCTTTAGCCCCATGAAATCACATGTGAATTGGGGTATTACGTGAGGAATACCCCCTTCCCCCTAACGGCTGTTTGGAGGAAAAGTGGGTCGGGCTGTGTCGACTGGTCTCAGAATCAAATGCTATAGAAACAGTTATGATGGTGACGGTGGTGGTCGGGGTGGGGGAAGGGGGTCGTATCAAATCCCCCATGAAGGAGGGGTCGTAAAAAAACTTCCAAAAAATACCAACGGTAGGTTCGACCCTGGTCGATGCTAGAGTAGGCGCTTGTGATCTCTCACGTCCTTAATTCCTTGCCGATTCTTCCCTTATTTCTTTACAGACAGCTCATTTCTCACCATTGCTTTCATTTTCATATGCAATAATCACATCTCATGAGGATGAGAGATGACTATAGGTCCGTCTTGGCCAACGAAACCCCACCACCCCGGCATCGTTGAATGGCTACAGATTTAGCTGGAATGATATGAGCATCAATTTCTGTATCGACAAGCATTTTTGTGCCAGATACCGACTGACCGAGAAATGGACTACGCTGCAACTCTCTAAGGAAGTACGCCTCGTCCTACCATTTTTGTTTCACACTTTAGTGATTCCACCACTGGGATCCTGTCCGGGTAGCAGGAGGTAGCTAGTTTCGTATGCCTAGTATTCTGGGGGCTACAGCTCATTTGAGTTGCAGTCACTTCCAGTTGCTTCTCAAAGGCACAGGGGGCTCTGTGGTGCTATGCTGCTCTAAAGTAAACGAAGAGCTGCGAAGGGGCCAAAGCGAAGAAAACGAATTAGAAGGAATAATAGAGAGCATTGGAATCAAGGCCTTTTCTTTTCGCGTGTGTCAATGCGTGGCTGCAACGGGGAGACAAAGTGAGAGTGCAGCAAAATTAAATGCCGAATAATCGCATGGAGAGCGGCATACACTGCATATGCTTACGAACTAGTAAATTATTGGCAGCTGGTTGCAGCGTTTGAGTGCTCAAGGACCCTGTTACCTCTATCACGCCAAGGAATGCTCTGATTATCTAATCGCGGCGATGATTCCATCACCGATGCGAAGGTTATTTCCAACTTGCTCCATATTTCTTACCAAGACGGAAATTGTAACGCAGGAGCACTTATCGGCAAGGCCGTTGATCAACATTTCCGACCGCTCTCAAATGGCAAGATCTCGGGACACAAGGGCTCAAAGATGGTGAAGGCTAATGAAGCGTTTGAGATGAGACGGCTCCAGCCTGCGAAAGAAAAAAGGAGGCAGGAGAGATTCCAGCTACGTCCCAATTAAGGTTCCGCTTTATCGAGATAAGCCGTATAGACAGAGTGTGCACCTGAAGTAGGCGTAATTTACGATTTTCCTGCCGTAATCACGTGAAGTGCGCATCGCAGCGTTCGCATCGGCTGCTTTGCGCGGCAAACGCTCCTCTCGAACGCTGCACTGCGCGCTTCGCGCGCAGTCCGAAAGAGGACATACTGAGTGCCGGCCCACCCTACGTGAGGCCAATCTGATGTGCGCGACACCTCCATCCTACATAAGCGGCACTCATTATAGTTGGCGAATTTCCTCGACGCATTCTCTCTTCGTTGGGTACCCAGGAGGCCCGTCGCGCGGCAAGAAGGCAGAGTCGGCGGACGAGTTGCAGCGCGTGGTGTGCGATGTAGGACGTGCAATGGGACACTCTATTTAACTTGACGCGAAATCCCTATAGTACGCGCGCGACTCGTCCGCTGACTTTGCCTTCTTGCCGCGCGACGGGCCTCCTGGGGGGTACCCCCTTCGTTGAGAGAGCGCAAAGAAAACGAGAAGTATTAGGCGAGGACACGCTTCAGCGCGTCAACGCGTAAAATGCGTATGTATGCGCATTGTACCTGACTACAGCAGAAGCTTACTTCCGCTGCTCGCCCTGTCCAAACGGCTTAAGTCCCCTTTATCAGCCGCATTCCACCTTGTAATAGAGAAGGGCGTGTTGGACGAGTTTCACGAACCTAGCTCCAGTTGCTCCAGTGCCAATGACATTGAACGCAATGCAACCGCTGCCTCAACTGCGCCCGCGCTTTTCAAGCAGCGTCACGTGGCAACCGACAGCGGAAGGCGGGGCTTGCGGACGAAGGTGTGGATTGCGGGTCGAGCGAGCTTCTTGCGCCTTTGTCGCGCACTGAAAGGAGGGCGACATCAACGCTTGTCCGCTACTACGCTCGGTTATGAAACAGGCGCCTTCAGGTACTCGTATCGTTTTCGATTGGCTTTAATCTGTGTCACTCTACACAGTCACCTATCCAGCCTAGCCCATTTACCTAGGTTGATATTTGGCTGATGTTAGACTTCGATAGCGCCGCGGCCGCATTGCGGTACCCACCAATCGAGCGTTTGCTGACCGCAAAGCGACCGCGAACGTTGCGAATCGCTCGATCAGCAAAGCCTGACATCGGCCTTACGAATTTTCTAGCTTTATGTGGCCTGGTGCAGTGTGACCACTTTTTTGGACTGTCGCCATTGTTGCGGTTGGTCCCGCAAGCCGCCTGATTCAACAGTCTGCATGTAACGCGTCGTTTCCGGTATCCCTCGCATTCTTCGATCGAATTGAATAAGGGGGAGAGCTTCTAGAATAGGCAGCAATCGATAGCCGTCCTCTTCATTGGTGGGAATAAATCCAATGGTCAGTATGCACTATTCTCTGGAAGAGTGTACTACGTATGTCGGCAATGTGTACATTGCGGTTCCTCATGCACCTCATCAGTCCATTGCTGAGGAATCCAACGCACATAGGAGCAGGGTTAACCTCTAGTTCGACAGAGTTAAAAAATCTAACAATCCTTTTCTGACTTTTGAGTTGACTTTCTGCTGACTACTGGCAATGTT